CATTTTGGTACTCCTCTAGCCTGAATAACCGTGTCACCGCCTTGGCACGCTCGAAATTATTCCGTTAATTAGCTCTATAGTAACTGACTCCCAGAGCTCTAGAATTATCTCCTCGAGATCGTCTAGAGCTTCTGGCTTACGTTCTCCCCGGGAAAGCTCTAACTTCATTTAGCTCCAGACGTGCTCAATTGGATTCATGTCTGAGGATCTAGGAGGCAACGATTGAACTTTTGCCCTTGCAGATACCGGTTCACTAATAATGCTCGATGAGGCTGAGCATTATCGTCTACAAGAACAAAATCCCCGCCATAATTTCGAGCATGCCGGAGAGCTTGCGGAATCTGACATTTATCCAGGGACACTTGGCCGTTAACATTGCCCCGAAATACCACGATACGACGAGTTCTGTTCTTCCGATGTGTTAAATACCGACCCAAACTGTCAATCCTCCACCGCGAAATGCAACTTGGGGACGCATGTTTTCTTCTAAAAAACCTTCTCCCCATCTGGCGGAGATGGGGTTAGCAATCGACCGTCAGAATTGTAGAAGTTAAAACGGCATACATCAACGAAAAGACAGTCTCTCCACCTAAAATCCTAATTCAGGTGTTCCTCGGCCCATTTTTTTCAGTTCCCCCGGTGACTGTTTGTAAAAAGTGGGCACTTTGCCCGACGGAAGAATTTAATCCCTGGTCATGTAGGCGTCTTCTAATGGTGTCTGCCGAAACATTCAACTGCAGATGCACTAGGATTCTCTTGACAGTCCAAACTCTATTCTGAATTGCAGTACGTACTACTAGTCGATCCTGACGAGGATTTGTTCTTTTTTGAGATCAGTACCATTGACAGGTCTGTTTACACGTTAACATTAAATAACATGAAAAATACTGTTTTTTTTTTTTCACTAAACGATTCTGAATATTAAAATCAAACTCATCACAGTTATTTATAACACCTTTTTAACTGTAACGCTCAACAAAACCGTTAAAATTTTCAACTAAATAGATTTTTTTTATTTTAATTTCATAAATTCCCTTTTGCACGCCACTGGTGTTGACCATTTTCTATACAAGTCATTCCATAATGCAATTTAAACGAAATCTGTTATTGTTTAATTGAAGAATCGCTAATTTCAAGAGTAAAACGAAATACCATAAAATGGCCATGTTTCCATAGCAACGCAATGTATCGAAAAAATGGCAAAGACGTCTCGAGGTGTTGACCTAGTGATCGAGTCACCACTAGAAAGAACTTTATTGGACCCTCCATCTTTCCCATATTCTTTGCCAAATAATGGAAATTTTTCGCCGCCTTACATTCACACCCTGTATAGCGAGAAGGAATTTTTTTAAAAAATGTACGACAACACTGACGCATAGACCAAAGATGGCGCTTTGTAACCCTGCTTGATAATCCAAGATCGGCAAAGAAATGTCGAAGTTATAGCAAGTCAAAATTAGGCAATTTTTCGGGTGTCCCACTTCATCTGCGGCTAAGTAGGTACTTAACTTTTGTAAAAAATAAAATCTACCTATTTTCAGTATTTTTGTTGTTTTTATACCTTAGTGTTACTGCAAGACGTTCTTCTGGACTAATTGCCTGTCGAAAATTTGTATCATTTTTATGAATATCTCCTCTAAACCTATCTAAAATTTCATCAAAACATTCAGGTGTCATTCTAAAGTATATGTAGAATCGTTTTGGGTCTTTTCGCAGCTGCGGCATCAACGGACCAACATCACCATAAGCTTCTCGTTCAAGATTAATATCATGAACCCACTTTCTTTTTTTCCTACAAGTTATGTACATTTTTTTACAAAACACTATTACCAAATTTAGTATTTAATATTTTTTAACAAAAAAAACCAAGTACCTATACTTATTACTTACCCTCGTTTCTCATCTTCCGCTAAAGCAAGTAGAAGAAGGGCTTCTTCTTCGTCGGACGAGGATGAGAAGTTCATTTCAATATCAATAGACTTTTTTCCAATCACAAAACACGAAACAAATCCGTTAATTGCCGCGGATAAATCGCTTTGGTGTGAATAGACGAAAACTTCCCGCTTCCCGCGGGTATCGCGTAGTTCCCGTTCCCGCTCCCGCTACCGCGGTACTGCGTTGGTGTGGGGCACAGAACATATCAACTCTAGAAAAGTATCTGCAATGTTATGTACCGGTTATGAATTACAGCGCCATCGTTGACTGAAAACCCAACTAATCGAGCATTTTTGACAAAAAGGCGAATTGATTTTTTTCATATATTTTTATTATTTTTAAATAATTTCTAATGTTCAACTGCATTTGGCTTGCTGACTCCTTCTAGCACTTTTCGCCTCATTTTTTTGAAAACTATGACTGGCAGGAAGCTTCCGATGTCGAACATGGTGCAAAAAGAGTTAGTAAGTTAGCAAGAGACACGCTCGCAGCTATAGGTAGATCGCGAAGTAAATACGAATAATAAATACAAATACGAACGAAACGAAACAAAGGAGTAAATACAGAAAAATATGAACAAAAATTAGGGTTTTTTTCAACCAAAACTTTTTGAATTTTCACTTTAACGCGCGTGGGGACCATGGTTTACAACAACACTATTTAAAAATTCAAATTTTGACTTTTAAAATGACAAAATAAATGACAAAACCAACCAACACAAATCACTGTCCACACCACAGATACCTGTAAATTTCTCTTATCTCCCGACAGTGTCGCCATCGTTGACTAAAAACCTAACTAAAAACCTTCGTCGCGATTCTCCCATTTGAGATATTTTTCTATAGGTGATATGTTCTGTGGTGTGGGGGATCCTTTAAACTTTAAAAGTGACATTGAAATTTGAAAGCTGTCACTTTCAAAAATTTGTATTCAGCAATTTCAAGTTTTGAAAAGCGCTTCCAAGTTAAAAGAGGATGTTGCATATGGCTGCTAGACTTTACTGTGGATCTTTTTTAAAATTGCCGAAATAAAATCGCGTTCCGGAAACACTGATACCAAATATACTATATATTGATACTTCGTCCAACTAATTTATTATGTTCCAAAATGCATTCATCAACCTAAATTAGGTCTGTTCCCGGTTCCTTATCAATGGTGAGGCTTACTTAATGCAATTTTTAACTCAAATAACGCAAAGACAGCTGAACCAAATATCATGCCTCCCAGCAAAAAAACACTAAAAAATATCTATTATTAATCGAATTTTTTATTTTATTCAGAAAATAAGGCGCGCCTCGACTATCAGGGAGGGTTGCCATCATTTCCGGCCATCAAAATCGAGACAACCCTATTTATTATTTGAGAAGACATGTTAAAGAATATGTCTACCAATTTTGAGCTATTGCAACGATAACATTGTTCTATCGAAAATATAGGGGTAGTTTACGCGCGGCCACCAAAGGATTGCGGCCACGGGTGGGGTGGCAACCCTATACCAATCGCATATGATGAGAACCCTCTACACCGCAAGGTACTTCTTATTTGTTGCGCCTATGGTTTAGTTCTATTTTTAAAATCAATGAAAGCATCCTTTTATAAAACAACTTTATTGCCATGAGAATCAAGGCAACCCATCCATTTGGTTTAAAGGTTACTATATGAACTATTGTTCTATGTAGAAATTATCCATTGCAACGATCACGTACCCGTTAGTATTGCCTGGCTCTCCTACTAAAATACCTGCAAAAATATATTTTCACAGAACACCAAAGAAAATGCCATGAAATAAAAACTTTGAGGGCGTCTGATACCCTTTTTTCAGCGACCTAGACGTCTGACGATTTACATACAGATCGTTTCACGAGAGTTCATACTTTTGATATCGAACACGTCATAACTTGAAAAAAAGAGCTATCCTAGATTCATATGACAAATTCAATTTTTTTGACAAATTAAAACGAATGTTTAAAAAACGTTTTTGACGTCATTGATTTGTTCATTCAATTTCTATTTGTTGAAAAAGGAAGGCAAAAAGTATGAACCCTCGTGAAACAATGTTTACGTTATCTTTGACCTTTAAACAGGTAATTTGCAAGCAATGTTTCAGCCGGAGGTATGGAAATTTTTTGAGCATTTTTTTTCTCATTTTCGCAGGTGTTTCGAGCAAAATCCTTGCAGATGGGTCTTCCTGATTGTCCACCCAACTACTGCACAAAATTCCAGCCGGAGGTATTATCGTAATACTTCCATGGCCGCCAGCTGGCAATCCCTTTCGTCTCATTTTTAATGCGCGCCACCGTACCTACTTGGCGAGCGGTATAGAATTAATCAGAATTTTAGGGTTGGGAAGTCATTGTTTCTGTATCTCTCCCTTTCTGTTTTCAAAGCCTTCTTTTTCTATTTAGTAAATATTACATAATATCATCATTCTGAAGTGAATACTTCTTTGGCCGCATGAGAGTGATTTTTCAAGGTCGCGTCACGACACGATTTATAAAATTTTTGTCTCGCAAGTGAGATGAAGCATATGATGAATATGAGGGAGAGAGAGTTAGTATTCACTTCTATCACGTGTACTGTGCTACACGCGACTTTTTTTTTGTAATTATTATTATTACTATTGTTAATATTATATTAGTTCTAGTTTTCTTTTGATTGTAAGCTACCTCTTAAGTATAGTCTGTATTGGTGTTTCTTATCTGGGCCTAGAATGAAGTTTTTTTTTTTTTTAACCTCTCGGGCTCTAGCAGCTGCCTCTCTTTTTGAGGCGAGCTGATGCAGCCTTTTATTCCATTTTTATGATAGAAATTTGAAATGTGTAAATAATATATTTTTTTTATTTGGAATAAATAAGCCTTTATTATTATTATTATTGGTTGGGAAATACCTAATTAGTAATCACTCTGATAGCACAACTGATAGTAAGAAGTGGGAGAGAAACAACTTGCAAGCGCTTTCTGGGCCATTATTTGGTACTAGACTAGAAGATTATACCTATTTGGTACCAGAAGATTATCTTTGGTACTAGGTACCATTTTTTATCTAGAATAAGTAGGTATACTTACGGTGTGAGGTATCAAATCATCATTTTCAGAATAAATGAATAACTGCGGACACCTGACCTTCTCTCCTTTCAAAAATTCAAACGGATTATTTGAATGGACGCTTTCTTTTGGGAAAAATTGAATACTAATAACCTAAAAAAAATCTTACGGAAAATCTTATTTGAGAAAGTTAATACTCACTTCATAAAACCACATAACAGATAGGAACGTAGTTAAAATTAATGACATTGAAATGCTGTATATTATATTTCCCTCTAAAATGGCAGTCAAAGCTCTGAATAATGTTGTAACTCGTCTTTTTCCAGGTGCCGAGTCAAAAATTACACCTTTCAACTACGAGAATAATTTTAATAACACAAATAAAGTTAATAGAAGTTTATAGCTACCTCCAAAGGTTTTTCCTGAAGATCCAAAGCATAAGAGAAATTTTGATAAACAAAAGCGCCACCATTGGAAAAACAATGCACGAATATTGGATGATTTTCAAAGTTTAATTCAAAAAGCAATTTTACCAGTTTCTCTCCAATCGCGCTCATTGGTTTTTTTCTCATAAATAGCCATTTTACTGGTGCGGTATATCTTAAAGTTATAAGTCTGGAACAAACAATTTTACTTTAAAAAATTTCAATTAGATATACCTACCTACCGGGTAACAATGACATCTTAACACAGATAGACACCGCATCTCATTCATAAACTGATGTTTGTTGTCATGACAAGACCCCCCCATAGGCCAGGAGAGGTGAGCTGCTCGAGGGGGGTCATGGTAGGGATGTATAAGTGGTGTAAACAAGACCCGTATTCCCCTCTGAACCCGTCATTCACTTGACAAAAATAATGAAGAAATGCGCACGGGTGCAACTCGTTTATCTATCTATCTGCCTCTAACTCATCTATATATATAAAAATGAATGCCACTTTTCGTTGTAATTTTATAACTCAAGAACGGACTCACCTAGCCAAACCAAATTTTTAGGCTTTGTTCGGACTATTTATTAGATGGTTTATGTGAAGTTTGCACAAAATCGGTCGAGCGGTTCTTCATTTATCACATTTTTTGTAATAAATTAATTATTCAATAAATGGAGGATCATTTTGCTGTCAAATTGAAACTTTTTTCAGCGTTGACAGTACCAGCATGTTGTAATGTCATTAATGTGGTTATTTCATTACTTATTCCATTTATTTATGGAAAAAATTTACTAAGCCCGCATACGGCGCCATGTCTTATAACCGATACCAAGTTTATTTTGTAATTTGTATTTTGTATACCGCGCCATCTCTGACACAAAAATCTCTGATACCTGGAACGAAGCTCGGCATTGCAGATACAATAGAACAATGCTGCACAGAACTATTCCACTATTCCGATCAGATAGAGTGGTGCAGAAAGAGTAGGTCAGATAAAGTAGTGCAGATAGAGTAGAACAGATGGAGTAGTGCAGTGCATGCAGTGCAGATAGAGTGAAATAGGGCTGCGCTAGAGATTTTTTTTGTTTTCTTTACATTCTTTGAAAATTCCTGTGCCTGATTTTATTTATTTGGTGGTACACTTTACAAGAATAATGCCCACAAGCTGCCTAAAAAAGGATGAACGAAACTTTCCAAAACGTGATTTGTCAGCGAGCAACAAAATATAACAGCATTCCCCCTTATGGAGCCGTCTTTGGTGGCTTCACTTGTTGGCAGATATGGCAATTAGTGTGCGCTTTCCAGTTTTTGGTTATAGTTCATTGGAAACGCCTGTCTTACAAAATCGGCGTTGTCAGTAGTCGTTTTTAGTCTTGAAGCTCGAACTTTTTGAAGCAAAGTCATAACAGAATAATATATCAATCCGTAACAAATTGGAGAGGATACACCGGCGGTAGATTGCTCTCCTAGATGTTGGGCGACACAAAATTTTGTTCTCTAATGTCTATCTGTGTTAATATGTCATTGATACCTACCTACTCATACATAATATGTATATATGCAGATATTATATGCATAAATAAATAAGGAATCAGTGTGGATAATTGAAACTGCTGATTTGTCACAGTATTCAAATAATTCAAAAGCCCGAGCAAAAACCTATCATTATAGGCCGATAAATAGGGAGTAACGGCCGAGGCTGAAGTTTGGAATCCGAGGCGGTAGCCAATTATAATCAGCCGATGTTGATATTTGCATCATCGGCCGTGTTTTGTTCTGAATTTTTTCTACAACTGCCTCTGAAAATGGAGTTTTTCACACACTAGGCAACCTCTGAGATAGTATATTGTGCAACAAGTGTTGAAAATAGCACTAGGCCGGGAAAGTGATTCTCGTACTGCTGAATAATAAGAACCAAAAGACAAACATTTAACAGGTATTTAACCGATCGCAGAAAAAATAGTATGTGTATTTTGGTGGAAAAGCACATTCTCGGCCTTCGGTGTTTGCCGGCCTCGGCTACGCCTCGCCCGTCAACTCACACCGTCGGCCGAGAATGTGTCACTTTTCCACCTAAATACACAATATAATATTCTAGAACAGTCGTAGAAAAATAGAGTTTTTCGCACTAGTGCGAAAAAGTTTTTCACACGCTGCTAATTAGTTTTTTTATTTATTTTGATCCTATTATCCTGGCATGACAACAGAAATTGCGATTTTACCAATTTTTGATGTTGATGATTTGTTTTCTAACAAATACTAATTATATATTTGGTTGTTCTATTTTGCAGTAGTAGAAAAAGCATAGTAAAAAACTCGTTTTTCCTTGTGGAAGTCGCCTACGGCTTGCTCCAACAAACTTTCTCACCGTGCGAAAAAAGTCGTTATCAAAACTTGTTGTTCAAATAACAATTTCATAATGTAGATTTTGAAAAACTGTATCTTTTTTCAGAACAAATTTAGTTGCTTTCATAAGACATTTTTTACTGTACCTATTTCCTGCTAAATGGAATCTTTTCAAGTATCGCCAAGCCCATTTTTCTCAAAAGCATTCAAAATAGATAGATTGTTTGAAAAGTCGGATGCCTCTGGGAAGGGTGTTGTGTTTTTTTCCTTTCATAAAAATTGTGCAATACGCTCAAGATTCAAATATGAGAAACAATAAACATAATCCATCAATAAGTCTGTTTTTTGTTCCGTATCGATGTTTCTAGAAGAATGCCAACATTTAATAAAAATAGGCCATAATCTATACCAATTTCAAAATATCACTTTTAGTCACAGCTTTACTAAAAATGCATAATACGGTCTTGAAATAGAATAGTTTATTTCTTATTCCAGAAATTAACTTTGTTACCCATTTTACCAAGCATCTATCTGCTTCGCCAGAAATGTATTTCTCTAAAATGAATAAGTGCTTTGCTATTACTGGTAAAAATTATTTGTAAATTATTTTTCCTACGAGCGTGCGCAAAGTAGTACTTTTCCGCACGCATTTCCGGGCTCAAAGTTACACTTTTCCGCACTCAGTGCGGATACAGGCCTTATCCGCACTGAGTGCCGAAAAGTAATTATAATTGTCAAGCAACAATAAGTGCCCCTGTCGACTTTGACACATGATGACAAATTTCTCCTCTATTTCTATATCAGCCAACATCTATACAAACACCAATTATAAATTAACTTTGACACATCAGATTTGTTCTCTATTTATATGCAAAAATCTACAAACTTTCTCATCAAATTTAAACGCTTTAAGATGAACAGCTCTGACGAGGATTTTCTGTTATTTTTTTTTTGTTACGTAATTTTTTGATAAATGCATAGGTTCCCTTCAAGTTAATTAAAAATAATTAAACAAATTATCGTTTTTTTTTTTTTAATTTTTGATATTACCTACCTGATATAAAGCTCGTAGGAAAAATGTTGTTCCTAACACGTGCGCAAAGTGTCTTTTCCGCACGCAAACACGTATCCGAACTCCGCTCCGCGTCGTTCGTATAACTGTGTTTGCGTGCGGAAAAGTAACACTTTGCGCACTTGTTAGGAAAATAATTATTTCCTACAGCCGTGCGGAAAAATCGATTTCCGCACTGATATGCGTGCGGAAAATGAGTTTTCCCGCACGGTGCGGTAAAACTTTTTTTTTTGACATATCAGTGCGGAAAAAGTTTTTCCGCACGGCTGTCAGTGCGGAATAGTTATTTACCTAACAAGTGCGGAAAGTGGTACTTTTCCGCACGAGACGGCAGTTGCACGAACGACGCGGAGCGGAGTTCGGGCAAGCCGTTAAGGGTGGAAAAGACATTTTCCGCAAGAGTATAACGTACTTATTTTGGCAATTGCCTAATTATACTGCATACGGCTAGTCAGCATCAGTCCGGAGGCCATGGGTCTATGGGTTCCTTGTATACATCTTACCTTTGGGCGCCACCAAGTTAATTGTGACTTAACTAGGAAGATAACCTAATGATGTTTAAACAAAACCTGTGCAATTGGAGAGCTTATCAATAAAACAACTAATTAGGTACAATAATGTATCTGGCTTCTTTATTAAAAATAATAACAATAATGGAGGGATAGCCAGGAGGTTATTAAAAATGTGTGTTAGAATAATGCTTGTACCAATTTATAGATATTTGATTATAAAAAAAAATATGAATGTAAATAATGTATAAAAATATTGATTTTTAAATAAACAGTTTTAACTCTCTGTTTACACTTGTGAAAGATTAGAACCACAATATCAGTTACACTCTACCAAGAGGCAAATTCAACACCAGAAAGGTGAAAATTATTGTTAGGGCAACCTCAGGGTAAAATTCTAGAATTTTATTTAAGGGGCACTTACCGAACGTAAATCAGTTTCAAGTGATTTATATAAGATTTGCCTAAATAGTAAAAAGTGCAACTTACATGTGTACAAGTGTTGATTATCTTCAAAGGTGTGTGTAAATCCAGAAGTTTTGAAGGGATATTATCTACAGTTTTGGTCTCACTGTAGATAGACTATGGTATGGTAAGTGAGTCATGAGTCCTATACACGTTATATCTGTTTAACGTAGAACTCGACGTGGTTCCACCAGAGTGCTACCAAGAGGGTTGCTGAAGGGAGGCTACCAAAGCCAACTAAGGGCAATTTAGATCTAGTCTAGAATTTCTTTCTAGGAGCTGTCCAACTATAGCCTAAGACTGTCTAGCTACAGCCTAGCATTAGGATTGTCCAACTATAGCCTAAGAGTAGGAGTAGGACCCTATAACGATGTTCGTATAAAAATTCAAAACAGCTGTTCAATGACATGATGGAAATGAAAGGTCAAAGATTGAACAACAATTATTATCATAACCTCAGATTACTGATTGGATTTGCAAACAGAGATGGTGATGGTACCTACTAACTCCTTTTCCTAAGATTCTAATCAATAACAGCGGGCCCTGCCGTACTGAATCAAACCTTCCTAGATCAATTAACCAAACTTGCAAACCTGAACCAAAAAAACTTCTAGTAGAAGGCAGTACTCAAGGTAACAAAATCTGGGCACAGAAAAGATAGTTGTTTGTTCATTTATTTCATTGTAGTTCTATATGGAATCATATCTACTAAAGCAAAACAAGGTAGCTTATTAGCCAAGAAATTGAAAACGTTACACTACCCCCTTCCAAAAAGAAATAAGAAAGCTGGA